GTTATTTAGAGCTTAAAGTAAAGTTTTAAGCGCAAGTATAGTTAAAAGATATCTAGCTAATTATAAACCCTATCTTGCTAAAGTTGTACGTGTTATTATTCTAGATGCTATACTTAGCTTTAATATTCTCTATAAGGCTAAACCTGCCCTAAATTACCCTAGGACTCTTATAGAGGGCTCTCTTATAGTTGTACTTACGCTTAAATGTTACTTTAAGCTCTAAATAACACTTCACAAACGTACTAGGCTAGTTTATGCAAACATAGCCTAGATTACGCTTAGCGCGCAAAGAATTAGCTATATTAGCTATAAATGCTATCTAAGGGGAAATTCCTTGCGCATATAGCTTAAGTATAGTCTTAATAATTACCTGCTTCTTTTTATTGCCTAGCCTTTATAATTTAGCTGTAGAATTAGCTTGTAAAGGTTGTCTAGCGCTATAGTTATTTATTATCTTTTATAGGACTTTGCACATAGCTATAGCATATTTCTTTAAGAGTTTTATGTCTTATTTAAAAGCTTAGAGTGTAAGCTGTATCTAACATTCTTTTAGCGCGTCTAAGTAGTGTTGTGGGGAATGCATTAGTGTAGGAAGAGTAGTTTAGTGGGGTCTTGGCAAAAGTAAGCGACTTAGGTGTGTGAGCAACTCGCCCATGAAGTACGTTATAGTTATTTATTATTTTTTATAAAGCTTTATATATAGCTATAGTACATTTCTTTAAAAGTTTTATGTCTTATTTAAAAGCTTAAAGTGTAAGCTGTATCTAACATTTTTTTAGCGCGTCTAAGTAGTGTTGTAGGGAATGCATTAGTGTAAAAAGGGTAGTTTAGTAGGGTCTTAGCAAAAGTAAGCAACTTAGGTGTGTAAGCAACTCGCCTGTGAAGTACGTTATATTTTATATATTTTATATTTTAAGTTAGTCTAGAACGGAAATTTTGTTCAAATATCGTTCGTAAGAAGTAACAGAGGCTAAAGAAATGTATTTAAAGGAGAATGAGAAGGTTGGAAGTGTAGATGCATCATCTCGAGCGAGGTGGGTGGGACGCAGGGTTGCAGCAGGGTCGACTTCGAGGGAGTTGCAAGATTATCATTGCCGATGCCAGCAACTTTCTGACTACATCACGCCGTCCTTCCAAGGATACTAATGCCACATATGCAACAGTAGGAGTTGAAGTCGAAGATGATTGTTTGAATATTGGCGTATCCCTTTGTCGTAATCCAAGAACCTAACACACAGAAACCCCCTGCATAGCCCTAAGGACTAATAGAGCTAAGAGCCGACTGAGCTTCGTAGGTACAAAAAGATCATGATGAATCGTGAAGTCTGGCCTGTATCAATCCAATACAACCCAATACCAACTCATATCACGCAATTTCCACCGTCGCGTGCATGCAGTCCTTGTAGACAGACGCTCGAAAAAAGCACCTCCAACTCCGCCTATGCTTCCAAGACGCCTCGCTGGTGGGATAAATGGAACGACCAGAGTTTCCCGATAACCCACCCAAGTTGACAGTTTCCGGAGGTTCATGTGGAGGTTGAGGGGACATGGTCACATACCCAAAGGAGATGGTATACTTACCAACTTACCGGTCCGCGTAGAGTCGGTGTTGAGGCTCCGTTACGCAAGCCGTTGGTTGATGTTGGTTTTGATATTAATGTTAATATTGTCGATGATGATAAGATGTCTGCACTGGCGTCATTGTCCAGACAAGACAGAGACTATCTATGACGATTTGACGTGATCGTGTTGAGCCAGCTACTCTCTCAGTTCCACTCAGCCCCTTCGCTCATACTCCTCCACCTTCTTGTCCAAATTAACGGATCGTCATCTGCTTCACAACGCTCGCCTTGCCCGTGCCTGCGCCCTGTCCCGACACACTCGGCGCACCAGACTTCTTCTCAAAGATCTTCCAGAATTTAAGAGATTCGTCAGCAGCAGCCGTCGCAAGCATCTGGCCATCAGGGCTCAGGCACGAATGCAAGACCCTCGACTCATGAGCAGGAACTTCCATATTCTTCACTCCAGAGGGGTAACTCCAGATGCTGAGGCTATTGTCGGGGAAGCCACCACTAGAGACGATCTCCTTGTAGTGTGTGCTCCATCGTAGGCTGGTGACTTGGGAGTCAGTTTGGATGTGGTTGATGCGCGCGCCGGTCGTGGTGTTCCAGAAGTAGATCTGGCGGTCGTTGGAACCACCACCGGTCGCGAGAAGGTTAGATTGCCACGGGCACCAGGCTACAGCCTTAACAGCAGCACGGTGGTTCGTCTTGGTGAATTTGGGAGCGACGAGAGAGCGCGCATCCCAGATTGAGACAAGGTTATCGTTGGCTCCGGTAGCGAGTTGAGCTCCGTCTGCGCGCCATTCGAGTCCGCAAACTTCACCAGTGTGCGAGACTAGTTCAGCAACTTTGTGCTGGGCGATGCGGACATCGTGGTTGTAGACGAGGCCGGAGCGGGCACCGGTGGAGAGGATGTGCTTGTTCCAGCCCATGACACCAACACGGGTTTCATGGCCGAACATGCTTCGCAGCTTAGTGCCTTCCTCGACGTCCCAGATTTGAACTTCGCCTGTGCCGAGACCGACGCCGACATAGGCCCCGTCACCAGACCACTTCACGGAGGAGATATAGGTATCTTGGGAACATTCGAGGAGTGAGGCCACTGAGCCACTATCGGCAGACCAAACGTAGACTGAGCGCTCCAGACCAATGGCAACTTGGTTTCCGGAAGACCAGTCCAACAAGTTGAGATAGTAGTCATCGACAAGACCTGGTGCGTCGAGAACGCGTTCAGGGGCAGAAGGAATGCGACGACGGTTCTGTGCGTTGAGGGCACTGGCTGGCTTGAGGGGTCGGTTGTATTGAGATCGCAGGTCTATAGGCTTTGATGACTCGGGAGGAGCAGGCTTGAATGCGAGAATGCGCGTGTTAAGGTTGACTCCACACGCTGATGCAAGTGATGATTGGTATGCAACGGTATCGGGGGCGGGTTTGGACTGCGGCCGCCCATCCTCGTCGTCGTCGTCAAGACTGAGGCTTTCCAGTAATAGGGTGGCATCTTCTTCTGATCCTCGGCCCCCCATGTCAAAGGCACCGGCAGCGTTGGCAAGAACAGATGAGCCTTCGCCTGATGTTGAGCTTGACTTTGGTCGTTGATCAAGGTCGAGCTTCCCCGTGCCAACGTTGCAGATAGCCTCACTTGCGGTCCGGTTTGGGATGAAACGGTCGGCAGCGTTGTAGGCTATCCTCGTCTTGGTTGGTCGTGATCGAATAGTGCCATCTTTCCTTGATTTGGCAGGTGTCTTAGTTGTTGACGTCACGTTGCTCGTTCCCGTCAATGTCCAATCAGAAACGCCAAGGTCCAGTCGTCGCGGGGAGTATGTTGCTCGAGCGATGTTCGACTTGGGGGAATCTCGGACGGAGGCCTTGGAGATGGAGCGTTGGAATCGTGACATTAAGTTTCCGTTGCCGCCATGAATAGACTCATGTGCACCAGGCACATCGGGTGTCTGGGTTTGGGGCGTACGAGGAGAAGGAGTCAATGGCATCCGACCGCCAGCGGTGCGGGTGGAGAAGATTGATGAGCGGCTTTTGACCGGGGTCAGAACTGCTGGGCTTGCCATGGCTACTCGACTCCGTACTGCACAGTGTTAGCGAAGAGTCATGATTCTAAGGACACGTGATAGGTCACACAATATGCTTTCCTAGTTTTGCTGCTGGCGAAGAATTATTAGTGTTATACAATGCTGTAACAGATGCACAGAGGTATTGATTCGAATACGGTTTGAAGCGTTTTGGAAGATGTAGAGAGATGTAGATGGATGTGAGGGAGGTAAGGTGGGAAGGAAGAGAGGCAGCAGGATGGTGGGATTAAATATCGTTTGTTTATTCGTGCCGGTTGACAGGGCGACGAGGGCCTTACTCGCTCTAGCCGCTTCGGTTGCCGATGACATCACGTGCAGCCTCATCCCTCAGGTTCTGCTGAGCCGGGATACTGCCGGGCGCCCCTTCACCGCCCTGTGTCTTGTGCAGGTGTCAAGAGAGACCAGTCAGCCTCACTTCACACTTTCGCCCACGGCACAGCTTTCACTGAAATACAGCGTGAAATCGACGCTGCCTACCCTTAATGCCTCTCTCTTCACTTTGACACCCGCTCCGTACACTCAATGGCTCTGCCCGCCTTTGCTGCCCCTTCCCTTTTTGCCGGGAACCCTCCTGCTGCCAACCCCCCCTCGACGGCATTAACCCACCCAGCAGGCCCCTCCAGCTCTCCCAACAATACATTTCTCTTGTCCGCCAGCCCTGTGCGCGGCCGAAAGTCTGTTGCCGACGGCTACAAGCCGAAAATGATCACGACTGTCGGTGCCAAGCCTGCCTGCCTTGTCAACGCCTCCGTCACGTACGTCGGGAACGACCAGATCTACGCTTTCGGCGGGTTTGATCAGTATACCGATGAAGGCACGTCGTTGAAAGTGACAACGTTGTTTTGTTTGACTAACCTTCTTCGGTAGTGTACAACCACGTCCTTCGCCTGAACCTTGCATCTCGCCAGTGGAATCTCGTCGATAACTATGGAGACATTCCGGGCGTTCGAATGGGTGCGTTTTCGACAGATTAATACTTTCTGATCGCTATCGTACTGATACGAAGTGTATAGGTCATACGGCCAATCTCTGGCAGGGCGACAAACTCCTGGTCTTTGGCGGAGAGAACGAACACCGCCAACACCTGTCCGACGTCATAGTCTTTGACCTCAAGACCGCATACTGGACGCAACCCGAGCTCCATGGAGTGTCGCCCCGAGGTAGAGCCCGACATTCTGCAGTCATCCACGACGAGAAGCTATACATTAGTGGAGGACAGACCGGCCACGACAGCGTGCTCGACGACATATGCTATCTCGATCTCAAGACATGGACATGGTCACGGTCTTGGAAATTTGTCCCTCGATACGACCATGCGAGCTGGATTTGGAACGGCAGGATCTGGATCTTCGGCGGTATCAACGACGAGATGGAAAAGAATACTGAGATCTGGTGGCTAGATCTCCGCGGTAGTCCTGGATTTGAACAAGCCATGACGTATGGCACTGGCGACAGACAATTGGTCTCTAGGTATCACCGGTCCCTCCCAAACCCATCCCCTGGTCAGCAAACGACCGGCAGCACTGGGTATCTGGCAAATTCCAGTGTGCAATCTTACCCAAGCACATTAACGTCGGCTAGGTCGCCATATACTGCGCCAGGTTCTATATCTTCCCTAAAGTTCCATTCAAGCCCGAATCTCCCTTCCCAAGCAGCAGGCATGCACTTCCATGTCTTCTCTTCGGGATGCATGCTAGATTTTGTTACCCCGGCAGAACTCAGCTGCGAGACGAGTCTTTCCAGCTTAGAGCTAGACACGCTGCGTTGGCAAAAATTAGCTGATGGGAAGGATTTATTCAGCCAAAACTTTCGCTGGCATTACTGCACTATGAACGCCGAAGGCACACATGCATGGCTTCTTGGCAGTTCCGTCGAACCCTCGGGAGATGGCAACGGGATGACTGGCGGCGAATATCTCAGTGACGTGCTTGCTATCGACCTCCGCAAATATGGAATTCTTGGGAACGAGCTGGCATCAGATTCTCGAGCCAAAATACCTTCCTCCGACGCAAATGTTGGCTCCTACTTGACAGGAATTGGTGCTGATTTGTCGACCACGTTCGACAAGGCTCCTGACACCGGCAGCGGCGCGGACTTCGTGATCACAGCTTATCCCGACGATTATGACCTGGAGGCATCACCTGTAGATCCGCTCAGCTCTCCAACCGACGCTGTGATACCACAATCTCGCCCCATCCACGTTCACAAACTCATTCTACATGCGCGTTGGCCACACTTTGCTCGTCTATGGTCAGCCCAGATGGCAGAATTCCACTCCAAGAAGATGCACATTCCCGAGCCCTACTGCGCCGTCCGCGCCTTCCTCTTCTACCTCTACTCTGACAGCATTTCTCCCAACCCACAGAATGGCCCTAGTCTTAACGATGTCGCTGGTATGCTCGTCATGGCCAATATCTACGACATGCCACGTCTTCGGCTCCTCTGTGTCAACCGTCTCGGCCGAGAGCTTGACGTCGAGCATGCGGCATTCATCTGGGAGCGTGCTAGCACAGCTGGTGAAGAGTGGCTCAAGCGTCGTGCGGCAGCATTCTGCCTGAGCAATTGGGGTCGTATCGTCCGTACACGCGCTTTCAAGAACCTTCACCACGGCGCTCTTCTCGATCTCTGCGAAGAGATCGACAATGAAGGCAGAGCTGTCAGTGGCGAAGAGTTGGAGGTAATGGGCGCTCTGAATCGGCCTTTCGGCGGCTCTGGTAGCAATAGGAAACGCAGCCTCGGCAGTGCTGGTGTAGTGGCCGTTGGTGATGACGAAGCAGAAGAGGAAATCGAAGATGACGGTATGGATGTCAACTGAGACTAGCACTTTACACCCAATTTTTTTTTTTTGGAAGTACAAGATTACATTTCCCTCTTGAGCATTTGGCGAGGCGTTCGGGTACGTTTTTCATTTGACGGTCTTAAGTTCTAAAAAATGATCCATTTCACACCTTCCTTTATCTTTGGTCAAAAGCGTAAGGGTTACGAAGGCAATTCACTACTTTGCTCTCTTCTTCTTCTTTCACTTCCTCCATTTTGATGGATATACGATGGACGGTGTCTGGATGGGACTGGATCTGTTAAAGAGCATTTTTTGGAGTTCATGTCAGCCATGCAGGTTGCAGGGTCATTGGAATTCCTTTCTCTGGTCTGGTCTGGAATGGCGCGTACGTCCGCTGGATTCGGGGGGAATTCAGTTGTCCTTTGTCTGGCACTGCCTTTGCTGTGTCTGGTTGTCTTAGAATGATCAATGACTTCTGCGATATAAGTGCGCGTTATGGGAAGGATTTGAATGAGGGTAAATGATTTTTATAAGAGGTATGAGAGTGATGAGATGAGGTCATAGGATAGGATGGGGGAAATTAGTTATGGTTTAGATTAGTGATTGGTTTGGTCTGCGACCTGGAAAATATGAGTGAATAAATGAATAAATGAATGAGTGAGTGTTAGAAATTGTATGCTTGATGTCAGCTTAGAGTTGGAAAGTGTTACGTCGGTACCTCACCTAACAGAGGGGTTGCACCTATGCTAGTTGTGGTGACTATGATTAGAGCGAAGAGAGGAGGTTAAGAAGGGCGAAAAGAGAAGTCTACACTTATCTTATCCTAACTAGGTAGCAGGAGCGTCCTAGGTAACCAACCTAGAGGGCTTATACAGAGGAGAGGAAGACAAGAGAGATTAAGAATCATTATTTACTTAGGTGCTCTTAGAAGGTAATAACGTACTTTACAGGCAAGTTGCTTACACACCTAAGTTACTTACTTTTGCTAAGACCCTACTAAACTACTCTTTCTACACTAATGTATTCCCTATAACACTACTTAGACGCGCTAAAAGAATGTTAGATATAGCTTACACTCTAAGCTTTTAAATAAGACATAAAAATCTTAAAAAAACATGCTATAGCTATATATAAAGTTCTATAAAAAATAAAAAATAACTATAGCACTAGACAACTTTTATAAGCTAATTCTATAGCTAAATTATAAAGGCTAAGTAATAAAAAAAAGTAGGTAATTATTAAAACTATACTTAAGCTATATGCGTAAGGAATTTCCCCTTAGATAGCATTTATAGCTAATATAGCTAATTCTTTACACGCTAAGCATAATCTAGGCTATGTTTACATAAACTAGCTTAGTATATTTATAAAGTGTTATTTAAAGCTTAAAGTAATGTTTAAGTGTAAGTATAACTATAAAAGAGCTTTTTATAAGAGTTCTAAGGTAATTTAAAGCAGGTTTAGCCTTATAAAGAATATTAAAGCTAAGTATAGCATTTAAAATAATAACACATATAACTTTAGTAAAATAAGGTTTATAATTAGCTAAATATCTTTTAACTATACTTATACTTAAAACTTTACTTTAAGCTTTAAATAACACTTTATAAACATACTAGGCTAGTTTATGTAAACATAGCCTAGATTATGCTTAGTGCGTAAAGAATTAGCTATATTAGCTATAAATGCTATTTAAAAGGAAATTCCTTACACATATAGCTTAAGTATAGTCTTAATAATTACCTACTTTTTTTTATTACCTAGCCTTTATAATTTAGCTATAGAATTAGCTTATAAAGGTTGTCTAGTGCTATAGTTATTTATTATTTTTTATAAAACTTTATACATAGCTGTAGCACATTTTTTTAAGAGTTTTATGTTTTGTTTAAAAGCTTAAAGTGTAAGCTATATCTAATGTTCTTTTAGCACATCTAAGTAGTGTTATAGGGAATGCATTAGTGTAGAAAGAGTAGTTTAGTAGGGTCTTAGTAAAAGTAAGTAACTTAGGTGTGTAAGCAACTCGCCTGTAAAGTATGTTAAGTAGTAAAGTATTAAGCGCTTTATTATTAAAAAAATACTAACGTACACTATAGGCAAGTTGCTTACACACCTAAGTTGCTTACTTTTACTAAGACTCTACTAAACTACTTTTTTTACACTAATACATTTCTAATAACACTACTTAGATGTGCTAAAAAAAAACTTAGATATAGCTTACACTTTAAGCTTTTAAATAAAATATAACACTTTTAAAGTAATATACTATAGCTATAACTATGTAAAGTCTTTTAAATAATAATTAATAACTAATACACTAGATAATCTTTATAAGCTAATTTTATAGCTAACTTATAAAGGCTAGATAATAATAAAAAGTAGGTAATTATTAAGAATATACTTAAGCTATATGCATAAGAATTTTCCTTTTAGCTAAGTACTATAGCTAATATAGCTAAGTCTTTACACCCTAAGCAGAATCTAGGCTATATTAGCATAAACTAGCCTAGTGTATTTATAAAGTGTTATCTAAAGCTTTAAGTACAGTTTTAAGTGTAAGTATAGTTAGTAAATATCTAGCTTATTATAAAGCCTATCTTAATAAAGTTATAAGTGTTGTTATTCTAAATGCTATACTTAGCTTTAATATTCTTTATAAGGCTAAATTAGCTTTAAATTACTCTAGAATTTTTATAAAAAGCTTTTCTATAGTTGTAGCAAGGTAGACACAGTTAACTACGTAGCCTTCTCTTGCTTATAGAGGTTTAGGCTAGACTAGAGACAACTGCTAGTGCTAGCCCTAGCATTATCTATATATATATTATACTATGCAAGAATACTTAGCTTGAGTATTCTCGTGCGTACCTTTTAGTACAGTAGGGAAAGTTGTATAGTATTAGCTTAGCAGGCGGGGCGCCTACCTTATTACAATAGTTATACTTGCACTTAAACTTTACTTTAAGCTTTAAATAACACTTTATAAACATACTAGGCTAGTTTATGCTAACATAGCCTAAATTATACTTAGCGTGTAAAGAATTAGCTATATTAGCTATTGTTACTAGCTAAAAAGAAAATTCCTATATATATAGCTTAATTATATGTTTAATAATTACTTACTTTTTATTATTATTTAGCTTTTATAAGTTAGCTATAAAATTAACTTGTAAAAGTTATTAAGTATATTAGTTGTTTATTATTTTTTAAAAAGCTTTATACATAGCTGTAGCATGTTACAATAAGAGGTATTAAGTAGGAAACACAGGTTACAGAGAGGGAATGCAGGATAGGAGGGTGTAACAAGAGTAAACCTTAGGGTTAGAGGCAGAGGTACAGAGGCTAAGAAGCCTATATACCCTGTGCCAAGCCCTTAGGATACTTAGGGGTTGGATAGCTGTAACATAACTGTAACAGTTACTTTAAAAGTGTTACATCTTATTTAAAAGCCTAGAGTATAAGCTATATCTAACATTCTTTTAGCGCGTTTAAGTAGTGTTATTAGAAATGCATTAGAGTAGAAAGAGTAGTTTAGTAGAGTCTTAGCAAAAGTAAGCAACTTAGGTGTGTAAGCAACTTGTCTATAGTGTACGTTACTAATACATCTACTAATTAACTTTTAATATACTAATAAAAAAAGTTAAATACTTTTAGCTTTTTATTATAACAGTGCTGCTTGTCAAGCTCTGCTGCTAGTTACATGATCTCCTTAAGGGTTAAGCGAGCGCGCTAGCGCCTTGGCGCCGCGCAAGCTTTTCTCTCGCGAAAACCCTTCGCCTTCTTCATTCCCCATCCTAGTTTAGCTAAAATAGAGCCGACATAATCTACCTTGCTTCCCTAGCTTTATATAGTAGTAGAGACAGTGCTTGTTATTACATTAAACTAGAATTAATTCTATTTTAGCTAGAGAACAGCAACATAATATTAGAGTCTTACTAAACAATTAGCCTATGCGCTTAATTTGCTAATAACTACCTACTAAGCAACTATTATATAACTAAGCAGAGCCTTTAGTTTGTTAACACGCTCTGTAAAATCCTACTTAGGCTAGGTACTCTAACGCCTTTTAAAGAGCTCTATGCTAAGCAAGACGCTGCAGCTAAATTAACTATAAGAAGAGGCCTATATTACCTGTATAACAGAAGAGAGCTTAGAGCTCTATTATACTAATTACTCTAGAAGAGATTACTCTGCTAGATCCTTTGCTACATAATTAGAAGCTTTAAAGCAGTAGGTAATACAGGTCTAGAGACAGCAGGCTTACTAACTAATTAGCTGCACTGCTAGCAGCATTAAACTAATACTAGCAAAGAGAAACTCTTAAAGCCTAAGATGCGAGTAGACTCTACCGCTCTACTAACTAGCAAATAGCACACGCTTAAACCTAGGACACTTAAGAGCAGCGTTAAAGTTTATAGAGAAAAAGTCTTTAAAAAGAACTACATAATTAAAAAACTTTATAAATAGGCTTAGTAAAATAAAAAACTAATAGTAGTTAGAACTAAAAAGGTTTTATAAAGTAATAATATATATAAACTTTATAACCTTACTATTACTTTACTTATGCTTATAACTAGTAAAAAAGTAGTCTTTGCTAATATGCTAGTCTAATATGTTCTTAAAACACAGACCTTCTATAACTATACTAACACGCTAGTAAAAGTGTTTAATAAGGTAAAAAAAAAACTACTAGAAGCTTAAGAATAGGTAGCTAAATTCTAGAAGCTGCTAGATAACGCCTTAGTAAAGCTAGCTAACTAGGGCAAAGAAATTACTACCTTAAAAAACCTACCTAAGCTAGCATTTATAGACACTTTTTCCTTATCCCTTTTAAAATAAACTAGTAGTGTACTTATAGCAACACTAATTATAAGCACTTTAGAAAAGTAGCTGCGCTTTAAACCTATAACTCTAGCTACACTAAACACTACATAGTTTACCTTAGAAAGCTAGAGAGAAGGCTTATAATACTCTACTAAAGTAGTAGACCTGTCTATATTTATAAGTAATAATAACTAAAACAATAAGCACTAGAAGAACCTGCTAGCAAGTAAGCTACTATATAATACTAATTACTTTATCTCTCTAGATAGTAATTTAAAGAACTATAAAAATGTATAAACGCACTATACTAAATTAAAGATAAGTAAAAAAGCTCTAAGCTACCTATAACTATACTTTAATATAATAAAGAAACATAGCTAGCAGCTTATAGCTACTAATATTATTAAATTTTTAAAAAAGCTTTTATTAACACTTACTAGCGCTTTAAAGCTAGAGCTAAGCTTTACTAGCTTAAGATAAAGTTATTCTAAAACTTTAAAGACTTTAAAGTTTAGTTTACCTAACCTGCTAATAAAGCTAAGCTGCTGCTAGACTAATAAAAGAATAGGATTTATAATACTTTCTTAAGTTTACTACTTATACACATAGAAATTTACTACTATAACTCTATAATAAGCTTCTTTAACTACTGCTACTAAGCCTAATAGATTACATTCTCTCTATAGAAGGTAGCTGTAGAGACTAGTGCTTAGCGCGCTTAGAGAAGTCTAGAGAAGCCTACTTGTAAGAACATTCTACAACTATAAGTTGCAGCTTTACTAGCGCAAGGTGTAACTTTACTGCTGCTGCTAACAGCTAAGAATAATCTTATATACTATTACTATTATAAGCTAGACTACTTTAGCTGTAACTATAGACATTTTTATATAAAAAATAAGCTAATAGAAGCTGTAAACTTAAATATAATGTTAAATAATAAAAAAGCACTATTATTAGAGAAAACTTTACTTTAGAGGAAGTCTTCTTTTTAGAGACACATAATAAAGCCTTTATTTCTAAACTATAGCAGCTACTTTTTAGTAAAAAGCTATTTATATTGCTTTACTACATCTTTACTAATAGAATAGTTATTAAGCTTAATAGTCTTATTAACACTAGTATAAGTAGTTATAACTTACTTTATTTTAAGTACTTATATGTAGTAAAGAAAGATCGTAAGGTAAAGCTTTTTAAAATAGCGCTTGTCCCTCTAGTAGAGTATAATAATAGACTAAATAGACAGGTATATAAGTACTTTAAAGCTAATCTAGTTCTAGATAGCTACTAAATACTATTATACTTTATACCTTATAACACTAGTTATTATTCGCAGAGCTTGCTCTGCTTATTATATTCGGGTTTGCAGAATAAAAAGTTGAGCAGAATCTCCTCTTTTAGACGCGCTAGTTAGTTAGAATTTCTTTAGATAAACCCTAGTAACGCTATTTCTCTGTCACCTTATGTATTTCTTACATTCTTTTTTATAAAAAAATGTATACCTAATATAGGTGCACCTTTCTGTTAATTTGCATGCAGTTTTCTCTAGCATGCGTTGTGTAAAACATGTTTAAATTATAGTTAGTTGCGTCTGTTCCACCTCTCTAGCCACATCGGTGTGTCGGGGATTGGCATCAGCCACATTGGTGTGTCGGGGATTGGCATCAGCCGCATCGGTGTGTCGGGGATTGGCATCAGCCGCATCGGTGTGTCGGGGATTGGCAGTTGCTCACACACCTGAGTTGCTCACTTTTGCCAAGACCACACCACAACAAACTTTATAACAACCCGCTCTAGCACTATAGAGTAGAGTACAGCTTAGAATATTATTTAGATACTACTTCTACTTCTTGCTTACACGTTTGCGCGTTATGCCTAGTCTAATTGCACTGTCTGCAGCGCCTTTAGGATTGCTTACATAAACTTTTATTAAAACTTATAAAAGTAGCTATCTGTAACGAGGTCGGCACAGTCAACCACGTGGTCTTCTCTCGCTCATAGAGGTTTAGGCTAGACTAGAGACAACCGCTAGTGCTAGTGCTAGCCCTAGCATTATCTATATATATATTATACTATGCAAGAATACTTAGCTTAAGTATTCCCGTGCGTACCTTTTAGTACAGTAGGGAAAGTCGCATAGTATTAGCTTAGCAGGCGGGGCGTCTACCTTATTACACAACGCTAGAGACCGCAAGGTGCAAAGGGGGGGATGTGAGAGGTATTAAGCAGGAAACACAGGTCACAGAGAGGGAATGCAGGATAGGGGGGTAACGAGAGAGAGTAAACCTTAGTGTCGGAGGCAGAGGTACTGACTTGACCTTGGCTTTTACAGCTTGTTAATTTTGCCAACATTACTAGGCTCAGCAAGGGTATCTTATCTGCAAGTCCATTCACATGTGGGATTCTTCTGGATAGTTCAGGAAAGGAGCATCTCTCCCGCATGCCACGATTTTGATGGACTCACAGAATTGCCATATACTCTACGACTATACACCCCCAAGAGTGTCCGTAGCCTGAAGCATTGGTCAACAATGAATTTGGCTTGCACGAGGCTTGCAGGAGGAAGTTACGTTATATCGTTTCGGGGTGGTTAATCCGTACAGTCCAAGGCGGTTTTTTTGATCGGATTTGAAAACATAGTGCTGCTTTCCACTCCTGAGAGGTATAAGAACAGAAAGTCGCTTTCAATCTTCTGTTTTTCGTTCTCCCAGTTTGAATCGCCAAAGGGCTTGCACCATCCTGTGATCACTACTTCTGGCACACTTCTTCTAGCACACTTCTTCTGGCACACTTCTTCTGGTCACACCAAGCGTCTCCCTGAACATCCTCCTACTTTGGCCTCTTTACTTGACTCCTCTTCGATGCTCCCCGGCAGCAGCGTAAGCCTCACTATCGGTTAAAAGTCGAGTCCCGTCCGTAACCAGCACTGTGTGCAATACAAACCAACGGGTGCAGCGCTCACTAACATCTGTACCAATACCGCTAGAAGCTATCAAGGTCAGAACCAGTGGCACCTTTTTCTAGACAACACGCTCACGTTTATAAAGAAGCTTTCTTCGCAGTTTTTTACGGACTACTTCGCAGACATTTTCGTTATGCCTACCCCCAATAAACAGCCGGATTCCTCAGGGCAGCAAGGCGCTGCTGCTACAAATGGACAAGCGGCAAGCAGGGGCAATGAAAAGGGTGGTAACCAGAACAGCAGCAGCACCACACACAACTCATCTGGTGTAGCCTTTATAGGCAATTTGGACCTGGGCGACGGAGCCATTAAGGTCGATTCAACGCCATATTCTACATACTCGAAGGAGGGTGGAGTCAGCACTGGCACAAAGGATTGACTGCAGACGAGCGGTGACGGATTACTGTGTTTTAGCGTGTAATGCACGGCCTCGCGTAATGCACAGTTCTGCGCGAAGCTGTTAAAACTTCAACCACCTCTCTCTTAACTAATATGGGTAGTATTAAGGCTGCTTTAGAGTTACTAAAATTGCTAAAACCTAAAGAATTACTAAATTATGCTACAGTAGCTAGGCAGTATAGTGTTAATTAATCTACACTTTTAAGGCGTTACTAACGTGTTACCTGCCTGCGTGCAGAGAAACTTAAAAATTAGCAACTACTTAGCCTAGTGCAGAAAAAAGAGCTAGTAAAGTACATTAATAAACTTTACACAAAAGATTTATTTTTTTTAAAATAAATAATTTAAAATTTTATAATAAAAATAAGTAGTAAGTAAGCTAGTAAAAGCTAAGTTAATTAATTTATTAAAAGGCACTTTATTAACTTATTATTTTAATAGACATTTAGTATAACTGCTGTGCATAATAAAGCTAACTTAGCATTTAAGTACTTACTATATTTTAAGCTTATACATAAAAAAATTAAGTAATATAGCATAGAACTACAGCATACTTATAATATAAATAAAAAGGGCTTTTTAATTAAGGTACTATTAAAAATAAAGTAAATCTTCTCTAAATAGTAGTATAAGTAAAGTATTAAGTAGCAGCTTATACAGAATAGTAATTATAAGTAAATTATAATAATAGCTTATATCTACGCTAACAGTAGCTCTCTTATGCTTATACTAATCTACTAAGCTGTTTTTAACTATATATAAAACTTTTAGCTATAAAATTTTAACTTTTTTAAGTATTAAGCTTTTTTTACTTTATTACTTATAAGTTAAATAAATAATAAACTAGGCCTAGTATAGCTTAAACATGTGTTTAATTATAAGACTAAAGTAAAAGTATAATAAGTGTACTAACTTTTATTTTTAGATAGTTATAAATTATATGTTTTAATAGAGTTTATTAAGTACTATAATAATAATAAGATTCTTCTAGCTATATACTTACTATATGCAACTTATACACTGCAGCCTTTTAATGTTTACATGTTTAAACTTTTTTTATTAGCCTACTTAGCTAAGCTAGCTAGCTTTATAGATAAATGCTAAAGACTATTATTAATTAAAAAAAACTTTTATAGCATGTTTAATAAAGCTTAAAAAAAATTTTTTAAGTATAAAACTATTTTTAGTGCTTTTAAAGTAACTAGTTTATTACTATTTAAGCTATAAGTAGTCTTAAATTAATTTTACTATAAGTAAAAAAAGTAACTATCTTTTAGTAAAAGCACTAGCTTAGCGCTTAGTGTAAAGGATTAAAAAAAGGTTAAAAGCTTTTTAAATAAAGTTATTAGTAATTTTTATAAAAAAGATATATAAAAGCTTAAAAAAACTATTTAGTTATTCTTAGTGTGTTATATCCTTCTCTAGTGTAAGCTTAAGCAGGTTAAAGATGCGCTAATTAATAAAAAAAAGCGCTGCTAGCATAGTAAGCCTCTTCTACTAGAAGCACTTTTAAAATATTATAGTAGTGCAACTTTTTAGTTTCTAAATAAGGTCTAAAAAGCACATAATTATTAAGTATAAAAAGATACTAAAAAAAAGGCTTTATAGCTTTAAAAATAAAAAAAAGTAAAGTGTAAAAAAGTAAAAAAAGCTAAAAAGGCGCGTGCAGTTAAAAAAAAAAGGCATAAAGTAGTAATAGTAAAAAAGGCTTACCTATAAGAGCTTAAGATAAAAGTAGCTTAATAAAAGAAGGCAGAGCTTACCTAGCAGGTTAATTAATAGCTTAAAAATAACCTCTAGCAGGTAATAAAGGGCAAGTAGAAAGCTCCTACGCCTATTACTAGTACACTAGAGGATTTTAATAATAATGTAGCATTAAATAAAAAAAAGAAGCTAGCATTAGGTAGAACTTAATATAGTAGGTAAATTAACCTTCTTATAAAGTATTACATGTAAATTATTACTAAAATTAGAATTTATAGCATTTAATTAGTATTATAATAAAAAATTTATATAATTTATAATTTATGTAAGTCTCTAGAGCTTTAAAAGTGAAAGGCGCAGATTGCTAAAATCGTGCATTACGCGAGGCCGTGCATTACGCGCTAAAACATGGTATTGTTTTTCCGGATGTTCTTTTAGTTCCGATCACCCCCACTTGTAGTGTCCTGCCGAAGAATCAGACATATAACTTCACGTTTCTCGCACTACATGCTCGGATTCGCAGAAACTGTGCACACCCAAGAAGCGATGCCGATAAGACAGGCTATGCAACTATATTCAGTGCTGCAAATGCCACCATCTGTGAGGGAGCGTGCCACCAGGGCTGCATCCCTCATGGAGACTCTCCCGTACCTGACAAGCATAAAGACGGTGTCCACTGGAGCTCTCGAACTTTTCCGATATGACTGGGCGGAGGAATTCACGGAACTAGCAGACGAAATCACTAGATCGATGGTATGATCTATGTCCGCAAACACGAGCTCTACTAACGTTAACAGAAACACGATATTCAGCATAGGGCGAAACTCGTCGCCGGTCTGGAATTCACCAAAGCAGCGTCTGATGCGGTTCGGCTGGCGATTGTTATACTAACGAAAGGCAAACTCCAGATACGGAACCAGATCGTTATTCTTGTCCCATTCCTACTTTCTAGAGACGCATTCGGAAAGGCTCTGCCGTATGTTCCTGAGGAGGTCAAGAGAATCTACCAGTCTCTGCAGGCTTTTCATGGTGTAAACGCTGCCTTCCACCTGAGTCATAAGGGGGAGCACCTGTGTACACTAGAGCTGCAGCTTGACTTTGTCACTCTAGCCTTTGGCAATTTCGATCTCGAATCCTCTACCGCGACTCCGGTCCTTCTGTGGGTACATCCCGCGTCACCAGCAGAAGGAGAAGCTGAAGACTGCACTAAGAGTCGTGGACATTCAAGATAGCTAGCCTATGGAAAAGGTAGAAAACAGATTGATGCTTGCAGATGTTTCCGGATCTTGCATGAGTATATCGTTTACAAATGACGATGGCGTTTCCAAGACACGCTGTCCTGACAGAGCTGTGGGTGGGCGGAATATAGAAGTACTGTCTGCATGCCCCTCTTCGAACAGAGGACGGAAATTTTCGCTTGATTCTTGCGCTCGCTTGTCAAGATTCGGACCTATATACTAAGTACAGGTCACATGACCTCTGAACAGGTCACGTGAGGCCACACAGTCTCATATTGAGACATCCGGCCTTACAGCGCCTAGGACTTAACTAGACTAGTTAGTGTATATAGCTTTAGAAGATGTTTTTTTAATTACTACTACTCTATTTATAAGCTTATAGATCTTTTATTCTTGTAGGACTTTTACTAAGATTATGTAGTCTTGTAGGTTAGAGCAGAGCGCTTAGAAGTAAATACTTTTTAAGCTATTATAGTTCTTAATCTTTTTTACGTTATTTACTAACTACATAAAGTTAAAGTTAAAGGCGTGTAGAAAGGATTTCTTTTGTTAGATAGTTTATAGCTTATTTTTAGCTTTTTTATCTAAGAGTAGGTTTATAAACTAAGACTTAAGGAACTTCTAAAATTATAATTTTATACTATTTTTATTTTAAGCTAACTATAATATACTCACGTCTAACGTAGTTTTTTTTAACTAACTAAATATATGTTTTACTTTTTAGTTTAGAAGCAGACTATTATTTTCTATTTTATATGCTATTTAGATTCTAAACTGCTGCTAATTTTTATAGTTCTTATTAAAAAGTTTTAGGTCTAGGACTTTATAACGTTTACCCTACTAAAACGTGTTTACTTTAGGGGGGGTGTTACTAAAGGCTAGCATGTGTAGTGCTGTAGAGAAGGTATTTATTAAAGAAGAAATAGTAGTAGAGGCACTTACATAAGCTTCTAACGCGCTTATCTAAACAGAGACTTTTCTTATTTTTTACTTTAATTTATCTATTATACTACAGAGCATGTCCTACATTAACGCAGGTTCTTTTTATAGTAGAGGTTGTAACGCGCCTTCTGCTGCTAAGGCTTTCTGCACTTTATAGATCCTCTGTTCTACTTCTAATACTATAAAGCTTTATTCTAATAAGTATAACGTTAAGGCTAATTTAATAGACTTATTAGTGCAGCCTTTTATGCGCTAGTGCGTTACTATCTAGACTAGCTTAGGTATTATAACCCTATAGTAGTCTAGTTCTATTTAGTTAACAGAAGTAGGCCTGCTTAGCGCTGCTTATTTTATTCTGTTAATACTAAGAACTTGTTAGAGTACTTTCTAGTAGTGTAATAGTATTATTGCCTTTCTCTTTTTCTTCTCTTCTTCTAGCACAGCTCTAGTGCTTAGGGCAATTTAGAAGCTCTCTAAATTACTAATTAGCCTTGCAACTAGTAGGTGCTAGTTAAGAGTGTAGTTAATTAAATTTAATGTAAGAGGCAAAGCTACTGTAGACGGAAGTATGCTATGTAGAATACAGATAAATTTAATAAGGAGTAAGAGAACTCTAGCAGAAAGGTGTTTTTAAGAGCGTCTAGCTCTGCTAAGGTTTCTCTGCTAAGGTTTCTCCGTCAAGGTTCTACAACTAAGGACTTAGTCTAGGTTTAGCCTATTACAATTAGTGCTCTAGTAGCTTACATATCCTTAACGTAAATTACGTAATATGCTTATAATAAAGTTATACTAAGTTAGCGCTTAATTCTAAATAGTTTAACTAGCATTATTAAAGTTAAGCGTTAATATATCTATATTTAAATTAAAATCTTTAAAGTATATTTCTTATTTAAGCTAATTTAGCTTTAAAGCGCAACAATTCTCTACCTCTTTTATATAAAAGACCTTTATTTTAAAAAGTATGTCTATTAAAGTCTTTAACACGCGCTGCCTGTTACGCGCCCTGTAATACTAGCAATGCTAAAGAAGCGTGTTGTCCCTTCTATTGTCTGCCTATTCTAGCATAAAGTCTTAAAAGGTCTACTAGACTGTCTGCAACGCGTCTACTATGTACTATAACTTCTTACGCTATAACATAAGATTATAACGCTGTGTAAAGGCATAAGAAATAATCTTACTTACTTAGCTAAAGTTGCTAGAAGCACTTATATTATTATTATTATTTATAAATTAATCTAGCATAAATGTATCTTTATTTTATTTAATTAGAGGGTTACTAGCTAGCTAAAAAAGCCCTAGAGGTAGGCTTAATAATAAGGAAAAGTTACTTAATAAAGGCATAGTTAGCGGGTCTGCTAGTGCGTTAAATAAGGTGTTAGTAATGTTTATATTTAATGTGTATTATAGAGCGGGACTAGCGCTTTTAAATAATAGTAATTTTAAGAATTTTAACGTAGTATTAGGGGAGGAAGTACGTAGCTAAAGTTAGCAACGTTAATAGCTAATAGATAAACGAAGATACACATAACTAACTACTATTTTCCCTTAGACCCTTAGGACGGAATTGCCTCCCTCTCTATTTAGTGCGTTCTAATTAGCTTAGAAGTTCTTAGAAGTTCTTAGAAGTTCTTAGAAGTTCTTAGAAGATTTAATTAGCTTAAAAGATTTAGGCACTTGCCTATTCCTAAACAAGTTAAGGGCACTTCTGGGTCGAGGGTCTGACTCGTGAGATAAAGATTAGGTAAGTCCCGAGTTGGAGCCGGACTTCCGGTCGCCACGAGCTGGATCGCGGAAACTTCGCGACGACGGCAGCACCACGACATGTCTCCTATCATCACGAAGAGCGCGGCTAGACTCACTGTAAGCTTGGGAGTCTTTTGCACATCGTTTTGGTGCTTCGCATCACTTCTCAGTATCTACCGCGTAGGGGGACTTTCCAGGTTCCATCGATTCCATGCACGGACCGCGGAGCGACACGCACGGATCACAGCTTTAGCGCCCAGGAGGCTGGTGCCTAAACTTGGGTCACCTGACTCTGCGCTTGTGCCGCTAAGGTCTTACCGCTTGCACCGAAGTTCGCCTCTTCTCCTCACATCCCCTTCCACCCAACCCACATATTCATCGCACGTCAATCTCAACACGCTCTAAAATCCCATTGTTGCTAGGCCTTCTCGTCTAGGTAACTCTTATATGCTTACTTCTCTTTTATTCTAGAGCTAATGCACGCACGTCCAGAAACCCACTATGACAAAAGGCGCGGGCCATAATGGTTCCAGGGGGGAAGACAAGACAGCGGCCGCGGGAGAGACGAAACCACATGGCGATCTGGTCCGAGAAGATCCCGAGACCGCGGGAGAGACGAAACCACATGGCAATCCGGTGCGAGAAGATTCCGATACCGCAGGAGAGACGAACCCACATAGCGATCTGATGCAAGAAGATTTCGAGAACGCCGAGAGCATGACAGACGCCCTGAAGAGGCTATTTCCGCAAGTTGATAATCCACAGCCAAACGGCACGCAACCGCGCCGCCGGCGATTAGTCGAGGAGAACCTACAAACCCCAGGGCAGCCAGCTCTTCCATATGTACCATTAGATGAGAGTTTCAGGGCTGCGGGTGAGAAGAGTTTTCTTTTTGGGGCCTTTATCCAAGCTTGGGATAAGATGATGGCAGGCGAAGTCTAGCGGAGGAGGTGTCCGTCTCAGCTGCAAATTTCAAGACCAGAACTCGTCCCGATAGAAACCCGCACAATAGGCAAACTCTGTCGCAATCTATCTACGGGCCAACTTAGGTTGATGGAGTATTTCGTGCAAGACCTTAACCATGACATGCCTAATTTTGTTCTGGCATCTCATGTAGTAGACAGGTGGATTACTAGAGGGAGGAGGAGGAGGTATATGAGAGATATGGATATCGGGTAGCTCCTCACTGACAATTGGTAGCGTCCCAGAACCCGGTGACCCAGCCGACCTAACTGTCCCCCCATGCTTCTTGAATATGCTGGATATCCCTGCTGCAAATAAGGACGAGAAAGAGAAGATAAGCCACTGGAGGACATTCAAGGTCTTACCAGCCGTAATTTGAACCGATGATACCCTCTCCGTTCGGGTAACAAATTCCATTGCCGCAGTTGTTTGGCTGGTCGCCATTGCTGATGCCAGGGCAAGTCCGACCGAGGTCCACAGAACCACAAGAGTGGAGCGTCGGAGTGATTTTCGACGCTTTTCCGCCTTTGTAGTTAGTTTTGCTTTTAGGTGTCGTTTCAATAGCATGATCAGTACAAGATCGATGACCAGTAAGACACCTGCAGGTGCCAGGAGGTAGAGGATGATCTTCGATTGCAGTGTAAGGGCGAACGTGAGCAGTTCAGCTGCGGCCGATGAGGAAGTTCCGTTATTGACATATAGGCGCGGCCTCCTACTATAAGCAGAAGGCTATAGTTATTCTTATATTTAGCATAGGCCTAGATAGAGTAATCTATCTAATATCCTTCTTAAACTAAAGCGCTTAAGCACTCTGTACCTATCTATTGCAGAGTACTAAAGCATACCAATCTTACACCCTCTTTACCTCCTTCCCTCCTTCCCTCCCTTCGTTCTAAACCTATCCTAGGCTCTCTAGGACCGTACACCCTGCCTCCTAACGGACTTAGGTAAGGAACCCTAACACCCTTACTAACTAGATTGTTAGTCACCGCAACAACGTCACGTGCGATACACGTTGACTAGGTGAGATATCGTAACAGGTTTGTGCTTCTTGTTATCGTATTTTACTATTCTTTTATAAATAAATACTGCATTTTAACGCAGTGCCTTGTAGATGTCTAATATCCCTACTGTAGTTTCTTTAGCTGTAGTGTGTCACGGTGATGCTACCAGCAAGAGTCAAGAGCTTATAAAGAAGCGATGATGATTCCTAGGTACAGTACTAGGTGAATGTTAAGACGTTGCGTAAAGAGGAGAAAATAGGAGACGCAGCAGGCTTAAATAAATGTTTGTAAGGGGAGGCCTAAGCGCTTAACATAAGGCATGTTTATATACACGTAATTAATAAATAAGGGTTTTAAAAGAGGCTCTACTAAAAGGCTCTATAGAGTTAGGAAGGCTCCTTTAAGGACCTATGCAGCATGTAATAGGTGTTATAGGTAGTTACTGTAACAGTACCCCTGTATTAGTTCTAAGCTCCTGCAAGAGGGAGTTTAGACTAGTTCTAGTTTAGGTATATTAGGTTATTATTAGTAAAATAAGAAGATAGCTTTATTATTTTTTAAGTTTCTAGCAGGTTCCTAGCTTAAGTTATTATATCTAGTCTATTTTATAAGGTACTTATAGCAGCGTAATGCTAGTTATAGCAGAAGTTTTTAATTTATTTAATAAAGTATTTAAGTTTACTATTAACTTTAACAGTTTCTAGTAGTAGGTTCTATTAGCTAGGTAGGTAATTAGAATTAGGGGCAGTAGGTTAGAGGAAAGAGACATAGAAGACAGGGTGTGTTTTTATAAATGTAGGCAAGTTAAGCTAGTAAGCGTAAGATAAGACTATTTTAGTAACTTTATATTTACTAAGTGCTTTCTAGTCTAGCTTTTTTAATTTTTAGTTTATTTAAATATTTTAGGCGTCTAGCTAGACTATGTTACTAATTTAGTATATAAGTATAAAAGTTTATTTTTAGTTTACGTATTCTTGTTACATAACTTAAGCCTATATAATTTTTTCTTAAATAAACTATTTAATGTTTTATATCTTATTAACTATTTTATTAGCATTATAAGCTAAGGTAGCTTAGTAAAGTAGTTAGACTGTTCTAGTTAGTAGTTTAAAGCTTATTTATAGGTGCTGTCTAGTACAAGCTAGGAATAGTAAAGTTTAAGTTAATTTAGATATTATGTTATTAGCCTTAAACTTAGCTAAGAGTAGCTAACTTACTTAGTTATTTTATTTATGTCGCGTAAGAGAGCACATGGTCCTAGTGTCGCGCCTGTGTTTCGGACGAGCAGCCTGAGACACTTGGCGCCGGAGCTCCCACTACATAGGCAGGCTCCCTATGAGCCTCTCATAGTCAATAGACTTGCTCCTCATTGCTCCCTGATCAGCGGTTGCGACAATTTATAATTTATGTATACTTAAAAAAATTATTTTATAATAGCATTTACGTTCTTAGTCTAGCTGTTAGTTTTAAAATAGTAGGTAAATAATAATTAATCTTTAATTTTTAGTTACTTATATAATTTATCTTAAAAGGTAGAAACAAATTATAGGCCTTACTTAAAGACTATTATGTTTAGTAGGCTGTAGAGTTTCTAGATATGTTAGTAAAAAAAGTAGGCTATGTTAGCAGCTTTAATGCTAGCGCATAAGATAATGTGTCTATATTTACTTAAGCAGTTAATAATTACTATAATATTTATACACCTTTTAGATTTAAGAAGGTTTATAATAAAGTCTACTAGAATATTTTACTATTTACGTTTAGGCATAGGCAGAGGCTTTAGTAGCTTATAATACATTTTATAAAAAGCTTTTAACCTTTAGTAGACGTAACAGTAGGATACGTATTAGTAAATTATTTTAAATATTTAAGGCTAGAAGTATTTACGCTATAAAATATTAAGCGTTTTTTTATAACTAAGGTAGCTACTTACTAGAGAGTTTTAAATAAGGCAGAGAAGTTTAATCTTTAGTTTATTATAATTTAGTATTATAAGCCTGCTATAGTAATAAAGCTTACTTTTTTAGTCTTTATATTTACTTAAGAATTTTTTTTAAGTGTCTAGTTCTGTTATAAAGAAGTTTTAATATTTTCTTAATAAATAGGTTATTTAAGCATTTATCTTTAATAATTTACTAGATTCACTAGTCTGTCTCTATTAAATGTAATTTATATATATATAGGAACGTTAAGAAAGGCTTTTTAGAAACTCTTATAGTCTAACTAAAGTTTTAGAACAGTTTAGAACAAAGTAGAGTCTGTTATTAGGCATTACAGGCTTTTCTATAAGCTAGTGCATTTTAAGATTATTATGTAAGCGCATTAGGCTTCTCTTTTTATTTACTAAGTTAGTAGGTAATAGTAAAGTTGTCTGTACAAGGCACTTAGACGTCTGATAGTTGACTAAATTAACGCTAAGGCTGCATAGGGCAGCTATAGCGGCGGAGGCGTAACCAACATGAAACAGGACTGCGCACGATGGTGCGACAGTTAGGAATCCTATATCTCCTCTCCGTACGTAGGCAGATACAGACAAGAATGAACAATCAATTGAATACCCCCTCGTACGCAAGTACCTCCCGTGACTAGTCACACCAGCTATCCCGTCTTGATGCAAGGGAGATAGCCTATTCAACAAAAGTTAAATTAAGAAAGGTATTTAAACTATCTTACTTATTAGTAGCTTAGTTGCTTAGTTATTATAAAGTTTTATAAATTTTTATAGTTACTTAGCACTTTAATTAAAAAGGCTGCACTTTTTAATTTAAGTCTCTATTACTTAAAGTAATAAATAATTATAAGTAGTTTCTTATTATAAATTTTATAATTTCTTTTAGCTAGGCTAAGCTTTTTTAAGAAGTAAGCTACTAGGTAAAGAACCCTATTAACATTACGTTGTAATAGTACTCTAGCAGTAACATAGTTAGATAAGTTAGCTTTAATAATAATAAGTAAGTTAAAGTGTTAAAAAATTAAAGTAGTTATAAAAGTATACTTTAAGTAATTAAAAGCATTTTTATATCTTTAGTTAAATCTAAATAGAATTATTTTTTTAGTTAAGGTAATTAACAAAGAGATAATGCTTAAGAACTCTTATATAAACTATTAGTAAAAGTTAGTAAACTTTAAAATAATTATACGTTTTTAACGTAGTAGAGTATTTTTAATTAAAAATTACTTACACTTTTTTTAAGTTTATTTAAATATTATTAGTTAATATTACGTATCTTAGGTACATTACTTTTATCTTATAAAACTTACACTTATCTACATTTAGTTGCAGACCTGCTTCTTTTAGAGCTTTTAAGACTAATTAGATGTAGCTGTAATGCTTTTATAAAAAGTTACTAAATATTAGAATGTTATTAATGTACGTAGTATAAAATATATTAAAGTAAAGTTTTAAAACGTTGTTTATAAAGTGTTAAAACGTGCTAAGTGCGTTAGCTAGGCTAAACAGCATTACTAAGTATTTAAATATGCTGTAATAGGTCTAGAACGCTATTAGCTATTATCTTTTTTAGCTATTTTTAGCTTATTAAAGGCAGCAATTATATTAAGTTTAGTGTATAACTTTACTTTACTAAGTTAAGACAGCGTTTTTTAAATTAGTAAGTTTAGATATTAGTTCTTAATAGTTATTATATTAAGAGCATAATAGTTAATGTAAAATTAAAAGCCTTTACTAAGTTTTTTTATAAAGATTACTAGCACAGTAACAGGAGATAAGCTAGCTTATATAAATCCTTTTAAAAGGTGCTTATTAAGGTATTTACGTAAAACTTTAAGTTTGTTTTAGAATATGCTATAAAGGGGACTAAAACTAAAGTACTTTTTTTCTTTTAGTTTAATCTTATAGTTATATAAGTAATAGTTAGGCAATCTATTAGCAGCTTCTTAAAAGAAGACATAGAGAAAGTTATAATACTTCTTTAAAACTCTACTTACTAAGTTAATGTGCTTCTTTAGAGCTAAGGCTTTTTTAATATTAGCTATTAAAACTATAAAAATTTTATAATTAAGTTTTTTAGTAATTTATACTAAGAGGGTAGCACTAATATAATAAATATTTATCTTAGAGTTGTTTTGTAGGTCTAGTTTAGACTCTAGGTTAGGCTTAAAGTTAGGTATTAAAGCTTTCTAGAGAGCCTTTATAGATACCCTTATAGGTTCTATAGGTTCTAGTTTAAGTAGTTACTAGTTTATCTTAGTAAGTAAGTAATTATGTTAGTGTTATATTATAAGGCTTAACTTTAGATGTTAAACATAGTGTTTACTAGTACTTAATAGTAGTGCGCTATATCCTGTAATAAAGAGTTACTTATATAATAAGCTGCTATGTTAAGTAATACTTTTACATAAGTATTAAACTAAGCATTAGGTTAAATTAAATATTAGCTATTAATTATTATAATTTAAGCTAACTTTATGCTTATATATCTAAGGCTGTCTAAGAATAACATTATAGCAGCTAGTAGCTATAATAAAAAGCTGTATTTACTTAACATAATTTATGTGTTAAAAAGTTACTTATGCAGAGTGTAATATATAGCTTTTTTTAAGTATTTTTTATTAAAGCTAGTAGAGTAAATTAAAAAAAAGTTGTAATAAATAAAAAATTTAGAAGTGCGTAAAAGATCTACTAATATATCTTATACTAGTAGCTTTTATATCTATAAGGACCTTATTATTCTAGAAAAGGCTTTCTTACTAAATTTTATAAAAGATGTTAATCTGTTATTTCTAAAAAAGTGTTATATTAAGCAAAAGTCTCTATGTTAGCAGAGATCTAGTAGTAGAAAGGTCTTAAAAAGTAACTTAACTTTAAGACAGGGCTTTTAGCGTTTAAGTATACAGTTTTAGAGATAATTATCCTTTTTATAAGCAGCCTAAAGTAGTAGAAAAGGTATATAATAAAAGTAGATAATAGTGCGTACGCGTAGTTGTTAATTATTTATAAATGTAGGTTAATGCTAGGACAGATGTACAGCAGTCTAGGGACCTTTTTAGAAGACTAGAGGAGCGCACTTAAGGCAGGGAAGCATAATAGTTGTAAAAAAAGTAACTGTGTTTCTTACATCTAAAATATAGGCTTTTTTAACAGCACTTACTACGCTTAGTAGATCTAAAAGGAGCGTAGTTAAAGGCGTTAATTTTTATAGCATTAAAATTAAAGCAAGATATTTAAGTTTTAACAAAATAAAAAGATAGAAAGTACTAAAAGTTATTATTAAAAGTAAAGATTAGGTTTACATAGTTATTTAAGTTATTAAAGATAGGCACTTCTACTATAGCACAACGTAGTTTATTAGAGAGAGGTCTCTAGAGCTAGTTAATTAATCTGTTTTTATTAATTCTAGTGTTAGCAGATAATTATTAAAATTTAGTAAAGTAAGTAAAGAAGCTTTTTTTTCTTTACTTTAAGGCATCTAGTTTACTTATTGTAGTAATTTTTTTATTTAAGTCTTTATACGTTGCTTATAAGAATGTAATAAACTATTCTACTGTTTATATATTCTTGTCTATAAGCAAATTTATAACGGTAATAGGGTCTGTTTCTAGTTAAGAGTAGGCGTAGAAGAGCTTTGTGCGTTTAATTAAGTATTAGTTAGCGTTGCCTTTAAGTTTATATTAAAGTTTATAAAAAAAGATAGAAAAGTTTTTTTATTAACTATTAAACATAAGTAAATTAAAAATGTAGTTAGATTTTTTAACTAGAGTTAAGTTAGTAACGTAAGTTAAAGAGTTATTTAGCGTAAGTAACAGAGTAACTTTAATAGTAGGAATTAAAAAATAGTTTTACTTAATAGAAGGCTTTAATCTACTTTATAATTTGTTAGTTATAAGCTAGGGTAAGGTGTAGACAAGAGTGCAGAACTAAATAGTTTAGATTTCTTTCTTAAGCGTAAAAAACTCTTTTTAAAAGGCTATTTATTAGTTTTATAGTGCTATTTTAAAAGACGTTTACATTGCAAAGAATTACTTTTTTATTAAAGCTATAAGATTGTCTATTTAAGTGTTTACGTCTAAAGAAGAAGCTATATAAAAAAGGTTAACGCAACGTAGTGTTACAGTAATGCTACTAGTAAGAGTTAAAAGCTTATAAAAAAGTAATAATAATTACTAAGTATAGTACTAGGTAAATATTAAGACGTTGCGTAAAAAGAAGAAAATATAGAGCGTAGCAGGCTTAAACAAATGTTTATAAGGGGAGGCCTAAGCGCTTAACATAAGGCATGTGCGTACACACGTAATTAACTAATAGGGGTTTTAAGAGAGGCTCTACTAAAAGGCCCCATAGAGTTAGGAAGGCTCCTCTAAGGACCCATGCAGCATGTGATAGGTATCACGGGTAGTTACCGTGACATAG